TACTAACAAGTTTTTAATAAGTGAAAATTATCTTCATGTTACTGTATTGTATTATATTAGGAACTTTATTTTCATGATAAACAGACACCAAAATTTAGTCTTCAAACAGAGGAAAGTATAAAAAAAAAAGAGTAAACAATGATATTACAAAGACTGTGTAGACTTTGGTGCTGGTGGCTCACGCCTGTAATCCTAGCTACTCAGGAGGCTGAGATCTGAGGATTATGGTTTGAAGCCAGCCCTGGCAGGAAAGTCTGTGAGACTCTAATCTCCAATTAATCGCCAAAAGAGCCAGAAGTGGAGCTATGGCTCAAGTGCTAGTCTTGAGCAAAACAAAAGCTCAAGGACAGCGCCCAGACCCTGGTTCAATCCCCAAGATCGGCATTCTCCCCGGACTAGCCCTCCCCCCCAAAAAGAATAACAAACAATGTAGGAAGTATGACCCTCAGGTGAAAGTCAATTTGTCTTAAAAGAATATAGCTGCAGGGTGCCAGTGGCTCATGTTTATAATCCTAGCTACTTGGGAGGCTGAGATCTGAGGATCACAGTTCAAAGCCAGTTTGGGTAGCAAAGTCTGAGAGACTCCAATAAACCAATAGAAAAACCAGAAGCGATGCTGTGGCTCAAGTGGTAGAGCACTAGCCTTGAGCTGAAGAGCTGAGGGACAGCACCCAGGCCCAGAGTTCAAGTCCCATGACCGACAAAAAACAAAAAAATGAAACAAAACAAAAACAGCCTTTGTGGTAAATACTAAGTCGAGAGTTGGAGACTCACACTAGCGCACACAGTAGGGACTCCTGCATCCACTCGGGGCTCCGAGGGGCTGGGCTAGAGGTGGCAGTCCGAGAGCATCCACTGAAGGCAGGCAGGGGATCCGCTCAGGGACAGGCTTCATCTACCACTTCTGACTGCTGTCTGAACTAATTCCTGAAAGGCTGCCTGGGACTCTTCTTGGAGATTTGTGCAATCTGACTTAAGAGACAATTTCCTTGCAAACATACGATGGACTACACAGCCCAGGGAATGGTCTCTTGCTGGATTATCAAGCACGGCTGCATGTCCATAAGCTGACCATGTCCAGGGCTGACCAAGCGGAGCTGACTGAGGCCGGCTGTAGCATAAACCCATTGCCCCAACACACTCAGCCAGGCAGGGGATGGAAGGCACTGCTCCGCGTCCTGACTTTAATGCCGAGTATCATTAGCTCTACATTAGTCAGAACTAAAGTTGCTTTGTATTTTTTAAATTTTAAGTTGATCTGTGCTATAATTTAAAATTTCCCCCTAATTCAAGGCTTTTGATAAAATGATGATAATCAGTCTAAGAAAAGCTCAGTCTTAAACCTTCTAATTTGAAGGTTAAATTTGAGCATCAAAAAAAACCAAAACCCTGCTTGTATTAACTTACTTTTGGCTATAAAATGATCTATTTGACTTTTTCTAATATTGAGACAGATTTAGAATATTCTTTTAATAAAAGAACAAACTATAGAATTAGTCCTTTTGCTTCACATTGTCAGACATAAAATAACAGTACTGTATCAGCAACCTGTAATTCTATCAAGTGCATTACACCTGTTTTAAGAAGAAAATGAGCAACATGAAGTGGAGCAGCCTGCACAGAAAGCCAGAAGGAGCCTCAGGGGTCTCCCGCATCCTCATCAGCTAGGCAGTGCGCTTCTCCGGTGAGTGCAGGCGGCGTTTAGCTCGAATCAGTCGTAGGCCTGAGATTTGGGCTTAAGAGAGTGGAGCGGAAAATCCTGGGTCACGGTGACACAGGCATCCACAGACACTTTCAAGTAGCTGACAAGTTTTGACATTCATACCTGTTCCTCTGGAACTCAGAGTTGCAAGATTATTACTCTCTCTCTAAGTCACTATTTTGGAATTGCATTCACTTCAACTGAATATCATTTGAAGTTTGCCTTTGCTGAATTTATAAGAAATGAAGGGAAAAGGAAGAAGATTTCAAATGGCATCTAATTCAGAGCAAAAATCGAAACCTAAAACACATCTTTACCAAAGTAATTGAAAAATATAAGGCTCTACAGACTTAACTCCTTGCAAGTCCTGTTTTCCCAAGACATACACTACAAAAATGAGGACCGCGCCAGTGTACAACCTACCTGCACAGCTGTATTCCAGTGTCCTGTTCAGACTCCCAGATGCCATTATACAAGCGAGTGATAATTGCTGGGAGTCTAGACTTGGAATTATTGCTAATTGCCTAAAGTGCTTAGTTGTAGCTTAACTTTAAAAAAAATTATGACAAAAAAGGTATTTGTAGATAATCAGTGTGATAGATGCTTTTCTAGAATATACAGGAATAAAACAAAATCTTTGTCCCCTGAAAATAAAAAGGCTATGAAACTTGAAGTGATTTTATGTTTTTCCCCCAAATTTACTATGCATAATTAATGTTAATTACATAATTTCTTTCTATTTAGGAATGCCAAATACCCACAACACTGGCAAACGCTTTGTTAGGAAAATCATTACATGTGCTTGCTTGAAGGCAGGAAAGTGCTTTCATAAATACCTTGTAATTAAATATTTTCACACATTTAGGTGTTTCATCTTATTTGTTTATTTAATAATTCAGATGCTGCAGTTAATATACATTCCTCATGTTTCTCCCTTACTTTAATTGGAGGGCATTTTTTCCTAACTCCTTTTGGTGTATTTCCATGCTGGCATTCCTTACTCCTTGGAGGCGAGTAGGTAGGTTTATTCGTATTTTCTTAGAGCAAGGGAGTTCTGGGAATGTGCGGCCAGTGAGCCCGGGTGGCGTCTGCGGTACTGTCTCCCAGTGGAACCCTGGCCTTGCTGTGGAATTGTGGGTAAGTGGCTTGACTTCTCAAGGATTTGGTCTTCTCAGCTGTAAATTTCCTCAAAGGCTTCCCAGACAGTAAGAGAAGGGGCTGGTGGGCACGGGCTGAATCAGCCACTGTGTCTCTTTCAACAGCTCGACCTGGGTCTTTCCCTCGGGGTGTAGAGTCGTACCCATACCTGCCCTCAGCACAAATGAAGGTGAACCCTCAGAACAGGGCCAGCATGTACAACAAAATGCCTTTTAACAAATGCTGCTTCTTTTAACTTGTAATGATTTTGGAGATGTTGCTCCTGACAATCAAACAGTTTGCAGGACATATTTCCCTGAGGTCTCTTGAATGAGTAATCCCAGGAGAGCCATGGAGTTAGGAACACACTAGGGAAGCTAATGACTTGTCTTCCCAGAGATGTTAAATCTTGTAAGAAGATGATGCAAACCGAACATTTTACTATCTGTACATTTAGTGACGCAAAGCAGGACAAAAACAAACTTCATCTTGGGTCTCTGTTTAAAAGGATTAATAAGATTTGTGTAGGGAGGAGCATTCCTGATGACCAGTCCACCAAGTGAAGCCCGTGCCAGTGCTGTTTGCCCAGGCAGAGCCAGGACTGGCGACAGCGATCACACATGCGGGCCCTGGGGAAGCACACTTCAGAGCCAACGCTGGTGTGGGGAACCACGTGGGAGACGAGAAAGGACAGGGGCACACAGAGGAAGGCGCCCATGAGGGAAGTGCTGTGTGTGGAAAGCGCTGTCCTCGTCCGAAACGGTCTCGGCTCGCAGCTCACATCGGCATTCACGCCCCACACGCCCACACACCACCACACTATTATGGGAGGATTTGGCGGTGGTAATATAAAAGCCCTGGAACTGAAACAAAATTTAGGCTCATGGAACACTGGAATTGGAAGCAATTTCCCAGGCTACATAACCCATTTTCTCATTTCTAGGGGACTGTGATTCACAGAGAGTAAGCAGCGTCCCAAGGACACACGGCAGTTTGCAGGCAAGTTCTCCCAGGGTCAGAGCTCTGATATGAAGAATCATCAAATTCAACTGAGTCCAGAAAACGGAATGGCTGATTTAAAAAGGACATTCATTCCATAGACAGATCTTTCCTGCTCTCAGCAACTACAGTGCAAGCGAAAGGCTTAGAGGAGATGCACTGGAGAGTCCGAGGCTCACTCCTATATTATGAGCACATGAAAGGCTCCAAGATGGAATTACTTAGAAGCACAGAGGTCCACTGAGAATATACTTTCTTAATTCTAAAGCACTATCAACAGAAAGATTATAGATTTCCTCAGACAGGACAAGGAAGAGGGCGTGGAGGTGCTGGGCTCTGGACACTTGCTGGGGGATCACAGGTGTCTCCTTGGTGATTGGCACGGTGCACAGGCCTCACCACTGGCCCAGCTTGGACACCAGGTTTCTCATGGGCAGGCCTTGCTAGGTCCACGGGTGGGAGCACTAGCAACACTCTCCTGGTGAGCACTCATTTTCACATAGAATGTTCCTGTATCCTCAGAAGTGAGAAAACTCTGGGATGCATGCCAGATGATCTGTTTCTCTGAATTATGCATTAATGTCTAATTTAAATCAGCACAATCTGAAGAATGAATTAATGTCCTATTGCTAAAAGTGAAGTCAAATGTGTAAGCACATAAATATATGGGTAAGTATGTTACGTGAGTACTCGTGTATATGTGTATTATGTATGTGTGGGTGTGTGAGTTTGAAGACTGTGCATTAGATCAACCCCACATCACTTTCCAGACAGGCAGAGTGTGAACAGCACACAGGGCTTGAGTCCATTTGTGTCCGCTGCCACCCCACCCCCCACCCCCACTTCTTTTTTGAGACACAAATCCGTTCCAGGCTTTGTTCCGAGAGCTGGACAGTCATGATGAGGGAACTTGTGAACCTCAACAGCACCCCCAGGGCTAGCCTCCGCGAGCAGGAATCTATCTCATGGGGGCAGGTCCCAATCGAGACAAAACTGGAATCCCACAAGATAAACTGCAAACTGCAAGTAACAAACACTGGAATCTTAAAATGCAATGGTGATATTAAAATATTAAAAAATATCAAAAGTAATATTTAAAATACCAGCATTATTAAAATTTCTACCACCCACCATAATTGATTTTGGAAATGTTTTTCTTTACCTTGGGGTCCATACTGGCTCATCTGTGGACCGTAAGTGCCACTTGAGTTACTCTGCTGAAAGCTACTCATTCCAGGATGCATCTGCCCCCCAGGAGAAGGGTGAGGGGACATGGAGGGTCCTGTCTGTTGGGGTCCATACTGTGACATCTGAGGGTTTCTTTGTGTGCCTGTCATAAAACCTAAATAGGAAATAGAGAGAAACACGTCAATGAGGTGTTCTGTACCTGGAGGCTCCATCTGCGTTCTGGTCATTCAGTTTAGAGCCTCCTGCTCCTCCACGCTGCCAAGCACTCCGACATCAGAGCCCATCAGAAAATTCCACCGTGTGCCACGAATGTGTCAGCACTGTCAGCTGACTACTTCTGAAACACACCTTGACTACCTCTACCAACCCAGTCCCTGCTTGGGTCTTTTGCCAGTACTAATTGTCTAACCAATCTCTGAGCTGCCCCTTTGCTCTTTTAAGTTCATTTTTTACAGAGCTGCCAGAATTGTCTTCCAGGAATAAAAAAGAGGACATTAGAGCAAATCTTTCCCCTGCAAGAAGTCCTTCGCAGCTTCCCACTGCACCTAGGGCTGAGATGAACATCTGCCCTGGCCCATGGCATCCTGCCTGCTCCGGCTGCTGCCTCTCGCTTCCTCCCCGTCACTCAGCTTTGTCTCGGTCTACTAGAAGATAACATCAAGCTCTCCTTCCACAAGGTTTAGTCTCTCCTGGTCCCTTCTCCCTGCAGTGCTTTTTGTATTGCTGGCTGCTGCTCGCGCTCGGGTCAGCATCCCCTGATCGCCAATCTGAAGTTAGCCCGTGATCTCTCTCACTTATCTGTGCCTTTTCCTAATCCGGAAGCATTTTACCATGATTTTTTGACTGGCTTACCATCTTGCTTTCCACTAAAAAGCTCTACGAAGGCTAAGGTCGTGCCTGGGCTTAATGCTGCATTCCAGGTGTTTTGCAGAGTATATGTACATGGTAAGTAGATGCCTGGATGTGAAATTTGCCACACACTCAGAATGTCAGACACAGTACAGTAATGGGTGGATAGATAGAAAAAACTTCTCTAAATTACGCAGAACCACAGGCAGGCAGGCTCCGGCAGATAGAAGCACATGTTAGCAGCATGCCAATAATGGGCAGTCTGGGAAACAACTCTCAGAACCAACAGTCCGCAGTGGGCAGGGTGGCTCCCAGAACCCAGAGACAAACCCAAAGCAGGAGTCTCCAGAGAAAGTCCTGGGATAGCTGTGTGGTAAGATGGTGCCAACATCCCAGGGCACAGGGGCTACAAAGACACGCTTTACATTTTACTAAGAACAACACAAAAGGGATCTTTTAACATTGCCTGTCTAAAGAGATAGAAAATGAAATAAGTGGAGTTATTTACTTATAAAAATAAGTCATTGGGCTGGGAAGGTGGCTCAGTGGTAGAGTGCTTGCCTTGCATGCATGAGGCTCTGGGTTTGATTCCTCAGCACCACATAAGCGAAAAAGCTAGAAGTGGTGTGGTGGCTCAAGTGGTAGAGTGCTCACCTTCAGCTGAAGAGCTGAGGGACAGCGCCCAGGCCCAGAGTTCAGGCCCCACTACCAACAAGAAAAAAAAAAAAGTCATCTAGCTGGGTGCTAGTGGATTACATCTATAATCCTAGCTATTTAAGAAGCTGAGGTTTGAGGATCACAGTTCAAAGCCAGCTTGAGCAAGAAAGTCCATGAGATTCTTATTTCCAATTAACCAACAAAATGCCAGAAATGAAGCTGTAGCTCAAGCAGTAGAGTGTTAGCTTTGACTGAAAAACCTCAGGGACAGCACCCAGGTTCTGAGTGTAAGCCCCAGGATGAGAGTGTGTACGAGCACGCATGTCATACAAAACTGGGCTCAACTGGAAGCTCAAATAAATTATCACAGAAAATGTTTCCAATGTGAAAACAAACAAATCAGAGCACCAGGCCTGCATGTGATGTGTCCAGTGCAGGAGGCCCGTGTGTGGTGTGTCCAGTGCAGGTCTGCGTGTGATGTGTCCAGTGCAGGAGGCCTGTGTATGATGTGTCCAGTGCAGGTCTGCATGTGATGTGTCCAGTGCAGGTCTGCATGTGATGTGTCCAGTGCAGGAGGCCTGTGCGATGTGTCCAGTGCAGGAGGTCTGCGTGTGATGTGTCCAGTGCAGGAGGCCTGTGTGATGTGTCCAGTGCAGGAGGCCTGTGTGTGATGTGTCCAGTGCAGGAAGCCTGTGTGTGGCGTGTCCAGTGCAGGAGGCCTGTGTGTGGCGTGTCCAGTGCAGGAGGCCTGTGTGTGGCGTGTCCAGTGCAGGAGGCCTGTGTCGCGTGTGATGTGTCCAGTGCAGGAGGCCTGTGTGATGTGTCCAGTGCAGGAGGCCTGTGTGTGGCGTGTCCAGTGCAGGAGGCCTGTGTGTGGCGTGTCCAGTGCAGGAGGCCTGTGTGTGGCGTGTCCAGTGCAGGAGGCCCGCGTGTGATGTGTCCAGTGCAGGAGGCCTGTGTGATGTGTCCAGTGCAGGAGGCCTGTGTGATGTGTCTAGTGCAGGAGGCCTGTGTGTGGTGTGTCCAGTGCAGGAGGCCTGTGTGTGGCGTGTCCAGTGCAGGAGGCCTGTGTGTAGCGTGTCCAGTGCAGGAGGTCTGCGTGTGATGTGCCCAGTGCAGGAGGCCTGCGTGTGATGTGTCCAGTGCAGGTGGCCTATGTTTGGCGTGTCCAGTGCAGGAGGCCCGCGTGTGATGTGTCCAGTGCAGGTCTGCGTGTGATGTGTCCAGTGCAGGAGGCCTGTGTTTGGCATGTCCAGTGCAGGAGGTCTGCGTGTGATGTGCCCAGTGCAGGAGGCCTGTGTTTGGCATGTCCAGTGCAGGAGGCCCATGTGTGATGTGTCCAGTGCAGGAGGTCTGCGTGTGATGTGTCCAGTGCAGGAGGCCAGCGTGTGACGTGTCCAGTGCAGGTCTGCGTGTGATGTGTCCAGTGCAGGTCTGCGTGTGATGTGTCCAGTGCAGGTCTGTGTGTGATGTGTCCAGTGCAGGAGGTCTGTGTGTGGTGTGTCCAGTGCAGGAGGCCTGTGTGTGGTGTGTCCAGTGCAGGTCTGTGTGTGATGTGTCCAGTGCAGGTCTGCGTGTGATGTGTCCAGTGCAGGAGGCCCGCGTGTGATGTGTCCAGTGCAGGTCTGCGTATGACATGTCCAGTGCAGGAGGCCCGCGTGTGGCGTGTCCAGTGCTGAGGCCTGAGTCTGATGTGTCCAGTGCAGGAGGCCTGTGTGTGGCGTCCATTGCTGGTGCTGCTCTGGACCCTTCACTTCCTACACCACCTATGCGAAAGCCAGCAATTCCCAGCTGGGAATGGCACCACAAACTTCTGGCTATGTACTCAGTCCTTAACAAGATAGAATCCTTTTGACAGATGCCCTTGCATCTTAAGAAAATGGATTTTAAAAAGAGGAAGAACCTCAAAGCTAATTCCGGTGGAGTGGACCACTGTACCAAATCTCCATAATTGAAGGGAACATTTTTCCTGTGGACTTGCCCACTCAAGGTTGAGACTTACGTGGGCCATACCACCACTTATGGCTTTTTGGTGGTTAACTGGATTTAAGAGTCTCATGGACTTTTATGCCTAAGCAGGTTTTGAACCTTGACCCCCAGAAATGTTGGCCGCCTGATAGCTAGGATTACAGGAGTGAGCCAGTTAGCCAGGAAAACGTATTAAAGGATGTGGAACCCATTTCTTTACATAAGAAAGTGAAGTTTGAAAGCTTCAGTGCCCAACATAGAGTCTTTTGGAGTTAGGGGTGGGGAAAATGGCCCGCTAGGAATCAAACCCCAGGCTGCACATCCCAGCTATATCCCAGCTCACAGCAGCTTCTTAAAAATCTTCTGGAACAGATACCCTTATTCTGTATCCTCTAACACCACGAAAGCAGAGAGTGATATAATTTCCTGGACTTGTGTCTCTCCTATCACCAACTGACCACATCAGACTAGGAGTGCAAGGCTTGGGTCACTCTGCCACTATTAGAATCTAGCAGGGGAGACAGACGTGTAAATAAATATACCGCCATGCATCCAGCATCCAGCTAGCTGTGGGACCTTAAGCAAATCACAAGTTCTCAGAGCCTCAGTTGCCTGATCTTACAATGAGGATCTACTGAGACAGCAGGTGGAAACATTCTGCCGCCCCAGAGGAAGAGATGACAGTGGTGATATTCTGCTTTATAGGCTGCCAAGAGTGCGTCTTATCTCTCGAGGGCCCATGCCTTCAGATGCAGCTTCCGACTAGAATGAACAAGGTGCCTGGTACATCTATTCCACTTTGAAACTTGAGTATGCGAGACCCGCGTTACCAGTGCTAGTGCCACTGTGTACAGGTTTCAAAAAGGGCACATGGTATCGCGGGAAGTGGCCCTGCCACCATCAGTGGCTGCTGTAGTCCTTCACTGGGGGCTAAACAAAGCTAAACAAAATTAGCTGAGTGCGGTGAGGCCTGAGTGTAGTTCCAGCACTTGGGAAGTGGAGGATGGAGGATTGTGAAGTCAAGGACATTTAAAGACTATTTAAAAAATCCAACAAAACTAGATGGCCAGTAAGGTCTTGAGAGTGACACATAATATATAATTACAATTAGATGCCAGCAGCCAGCAGACTGAAAAAGACATCTAATTTTTTTTTTTTGAGCCCGGTCATGAGGCCTGAACTCTGGGCCTGGGTGCTGTCCCTCAGCTCTTCAGCTCAAGGTTAGAGCTCTACCACTTGAGCCACAGCGCCACTTCCGGCTTTTTTCTTTTTTTGCTTATGTGGTGCTGAGGAATCGAACCCAGGGCCTCATGCATGCAAGGCAAGAGCTCTACCACTGAGCCACCTTCCCAGCCCAAGACATCTAATTTTTAAATGTTACGGAATGTTACCACTTCTACACAATTGGATGAAAATAAAGGGTAGGAATTAGCTGATAAAGTCAGGTGTGCGTGGTGGCCCCACATCTAGAATTCTAGTTATTTAGGAGGCAGCGATCAGGGGAATCAGGTTCAAGGCCAGTCTGGGCAAACTATTCTCGAGATCCCCATCTCAAGTGATTCACGCTAGGCATGGTGGCACATCCATGCGATCCTAACTACTTGGATAAACTGCAGTCCAGGCTGCTCCAGGAGAAACGCAAGACTATTTACAAAATAACAAAAAAGGCTGACAGTATGT